GATGTGGAAAAAATCCCCACATGGCAATGCTTGAAGGAACAGGGATGGTTCGATGCTGCCTTGCTTGTTTCCGAAAGAGACTCCACTCCGCTTGACATGACATGCCATGAAGCGACCAGACACAGTTTCATCTTGTGTTCTAAACATTGGAGGAATTCTATCTTGGTATGCAAAGCAATCCAAAAACACCTTTTCAGTGCCCACCCCGTGTTATATCTTGAAACTTCGATCAAAGTATTGGTACAACCTATTTATAAGTGGGCCTTACCTAGATCCTTTGATGGTTACATGCATGACCCGATACTCGCAGGCCATGTAGCAACTGATGTTATACAACAACATTCCAATGGTCTTGAACGAGCCTTCTCGGAATCTGACCACCAGAAGATTGCTAAGATTTGGACAGATATGGCGGAGCACACACTAGCCAATTCTGCTGTTGATGCTGAAGGTAACATCCTAAGTTTCAAAGGTGACTTTGTTGGTAGATCTTGGAAGCAATTTCTGCGGCGAACCACCTTTGACCGCCCTTGCCCTGTCCAAGTGAGATCAGGGGATGTGCCTTGCCGAACCTCGTGCCCTAACATTGAATACCGAAGACACCTTAAACAGGTTCATAGAATTCAGAGCCTTGCACGACAGTTGAAGTCCATCCAACGCAGTTTTAAGTTGGCAGCTTACCTTCAGGCTGAACAACTTTGGAAAAAGATCTTGCAGGCCAAAGGTTTTCACAAATCCTTTACCACATGGCTGCTTATGCATGATGTCACGTATGTTCCGCTTCAGCTGCCTGACCTTGAGTATGCGGAAACCCTACGTGATTTTGTTGTTGCGTGGCATCAGAGCAACAATGCCTATTTCATTCGTGAAAGACGACGTATGCGATTTGTACAGACAGTTCTTGATGTTAAAAAGGGGGGAAAAAACGCCTTCAAGAAGATTGAACAAGACCCACTGCCTCCCTTGAGGATCGTACATACCACCAAAAAGCAAGAGGCCGTAAGGCAGCGATGGCCCAAAACAGGGAGGAATACTCTCACTTTTGCGAACGCCCCAATCTTTCGTATAGGTGCTGAAGTTACTTTCCAAGGGCAACTTGCTAATGTTATTGACATACAGTCCAATACTATTAAACTTGATAAACAGATCTTTTTGAGGTCTAGCGACCTTAGTTGTGTACAACCCACCTGGACAATGCTACATGATGAAATGCACAACCTGGTTTTCGATGCTTGGTCCAAATATTTTTGTAGGGATGAGGAGGAAGTGGCCGATTTTGCCAACGTCGTCCAATACTTGAGTCTTTTGGAAACCGAGCAAACCATGAAATATGAACCGATTACCGACATGCAATTCCTCGATGCAATTAAGTCAACTAAACTGATGAGTGCACGAGGTTCTGATGGTTTCTCGACAAGAGACCTCCAGAAATTACCGAAGCCATTGTGGACACTGCTCGCCAAATTCATACATAGCATTGAACAGAAGCGAAGCTGGCCGGATCAGTGGTTAGTTGCTAAGACCCTTTGCCTTACCAAAGGGCACACGCCTGAGTCTCCCCTAGATATTAGGCCTATAACTATTATCTCGAAGATGTACAGACTCTGGTCCAAGATTCGTGGTAAACAGCTTGCTGCTTATCTTACACAACAAATACCACCATCCCTTGGTGGACCGGCAATGGGTATTTCAAGTGAAATGATTGCCTTGCTCAATGCAGATGTCATTGAAGATTCGTTTGCCAGCGACTCTGCGCTTGTTGGGGTAGTTGTTGACATCATTAAAGCCTACAACGCTATCCCTAGAGAACCTTTGCAGGATGCCCTTTTGGCTTTGGGTGTACACCCCACAATTGTACATACCTTTGCTGCAGCCATGAAACAGATGAAACGGGTTTTCATTATTGATGAATCTGCAGGAACTTTGTTCTCAACCTCCACGGGTATTGTTGAGGGATGCGCTTTTGCAGTGCCAGCAATGCTTGCAATCAGCATGTGGGCAGCAAAAGTTGTGGGTGGGCATATGAGCAACCACCTTTGTTTGTTCTTTGCCGATAATTGGTCAATAACTAACAAATCCGCAGATGAACTTGTCATTGCTTTCCAAGAGTTATCCAAATTCCTTGATGCCCTCAAGCTGAGTATCTCCAAGGATAAATCTTGGGTGTGGGCACTCAACACCAAAAATAGAAACCGCCTCTCGCAGCATTCGGATGCCCTCCAAGGCATTCGTGTCTGTTTGAAAGCCAAAGACTTAGGGGTCACACAGAATTATTCTCGATGTAGAGTTAAACCCTTACTCAGTGGGAAAATCATTGGGTCCAAGACCAAATGCAAAGCAATTGGAAAAGTTGCAGTTCCCAATGCATTTCGAAAGAAGATGGTCGATGCAGCCGTCTTATCCAGACATAATTATGGCGCTGCATGCTCATTGCCTGCCCATAATGATTTTGCTCGCCTTAGGGCTGCAGTCGCTGAGGCCATTCGCCAGGACAAAGGGGGTACCAACTCCCTTCTTGTCTGTAATGTTCATGAGCCTCTGGACCCTGAACTCAAGGACCTGATCAATAGGATCATGACCTTTAAGAGGTATTTTCACAAATTCCCTGACAGATTGGAGCCCTGTGCCATGCGGCTTGAGACAAGTACCCCCTCCAAGCATAAGGCCACTGGACCGGTAGATAGCCTCCTGTTGTCACTGGATAAAGTCAACTGTAGACCAACTATTCAGAATTGTAAGATTGTCATCGACTCGCCATATGGACCCTTCTGTCCGATGGACTTCACTGGCCGGACCCTCAAATGGCTCTTTCGTAAATTGTGGACTCGTGCCTGCGTCCATCAAATTAAGCGAAAGGACTTTCATCAAATCCCTTGGGATTTTGATCTGGTAGCCAGTGCCTACTGCCAATTGACACCTAGAAAAAAAGCACTTGTGGATGCCTATACCACCGGGAAAAGGATCACCCAGGATAAATTTGTGAAATTTCAGACAGATAATGATGGCAAGTGTGTCTTTTGTCATGAGCAAGATACCAAAGAGCATCGTGTCTATCATTGCCCAAAATGGACCGAAACACGGAGTAAGATTCGCCACCTTTTTCCTGTTTTAGAATCTCTGGGGCCAAATACCATTTCCATGGGCCTCCCCAGTGAGGTCGATGTTTTTATTGAGGAAAAATTGCACGCAGCGCAAACGGTGCCATTCCAGTTACCTGGGGATGCTCCTGATGCTCATGAAATTTTTGTTGATGGCACGGCCTATTGTAGTGAACACCCATTCTTGGCCCTTGCTGGGGCGGCAGTAGTCGAGGCATTCCGCGACTCAATTGTTGCCAATCTCATTTGCCGGGCCCGTGCGCCATGCATCATTCAGAACTCATATATTGCAGAAGCATTTGCATTAGTCCTGGGTCTCAACCACTTTTGGGTCATCAATTTTTATTCGGATTGTCAAACCGTTGTTGACCAGCTTACTCACATTTCTTGAACACCACAAGCTCCCCATCATCCAAAACGGTTACACTGCAATCTGGGATGTGGTGTATAAGCATCTTCACGCAAGGAATTTTCAGGGTATTACCATTACTAAGGTTCAGGCCCACACAAGTTGGCATTCGGTGTCTTGCAGTGAGGACCGGTTTCGTGGGTTTGCTAATGAACAGGCGGACCACCATGCCAAACAAGTTTTCACACAAGATAATCCAGACCTGCTGCTCCGGCATACCAAACAGCTCGAGCACATCCGTAATGCTGCCAAAGCACTGTCACAATTTTATCATTTTGTTGCAGAGTTTGTGGGTGACTTCTTTCTTGAACATAAGAAAGTTGAAAGATCCACCCTTGAAAAGAAAAGACGGTTGGATGCCGAAGCCATTCGTGCTGCCGCCCCGACAGAGAGACCTGTCTGCTTACATGCGACAATTTCGGGAGCTGTTGGCAATTTACAGATATGTTTGAGATGCCCATACCACCCTATCTTCTGTTTTCGCATCCTGGAGTGGGCTAAGCAATTGATGTGGTGTCCCGCAAATTGCCATTGTTTGGGGCAAACCACTTTCATTGAATTGTATTTCGATTTTATGCTTACCACAAGTAGTCAGGCACCAATCAACATAACACCAGGCAAGCAGCGACCTGGACATAACATTGCGCATTTCCAACTGGCCGATCGTTCCACGGTTGCGGACCTCCTTGCAAATGTGCCACTTGGGACTCAGACCAAGAATTTCAATTTGTGTCTTACATGGCTTGAATCACAGGGTGTCCACCCCTTTGCTGGTCACAGAGATCGTGTCAAACGATCTGACACCTTGGGTTGGTTAGGGATCCGTGGCTGGTACCCAGCCGTACGTGGTGTACCTAAATTAGTTCATGGGCATGAGGTATATCTTGAAATCGACCGATTCTTGAACCAGACCTCTCCACCTGCGCGAAATTTGTCACACCCGTGGCGTGTCAAAACCACACCAAAGATTTCTCATCCAACTGAGCTTGACATTTCCTTCGAAAAGCTTGTTCAGAATATCAAAACCACCTGAATGTTTCGTTTCCTTCGTGCCAATTCGCTCCCCACCATTAGGCCTCTAGTACGCATGTGCTGACTAGTCGTCTGAGGATACAAAACGTATCCTGATAAGGCTGAAAACCCACTGTTACAGGTAATAGGATAGATCCAAGTCATATCTTCTTGGCTCAGAGACAAGGACCAGGGGTCATAGGATGAAAGCAAGAACATCGACATGATCAACTGAATGAGCTTAACGCCTCAGGCTGGATCCCTGTATATGGTTCATGGCCGAAATCAACTATAAGTTACAACGCAACAAGATTTTTCTTGTAGAATCCTTTTGCTCCTAGTAGCGTCCTTGCTCCTAGTAGTAAGGCCAGGAGTAGCGTCCTTGCTCCTAGTAGCGATGCCCTTTGCTCCTAGTAGCGTCCTTGTGAACACTCCCCAGATCCCCACGACCGAATCGAGCCGCTATGCGCCGATCGACCGAGATGTGTATTGCTCGCTGCGTCCAGAGTGCCACGGCCACCTGGGGAAGAGAAGGATACCGAGATGTGTTTTTTTCGTTTTTGAAGGGAGAGCTTCTTGCAAGTAGGTTGGAGGCCATCGCTATTAGGTTCTTTTTGAAGAGAGAGCAGTCCCTCTTAAGATGGTTTATCACTGAGAACTTGGGAATCTGTTCCGGGAATGCAGTCGCTTGTGCGCTGCGAAGTTTTAAGCTTTTGGGCTCCTCAGTGGGTATAGCCACAAGCTCGATGGAAGCTTGCCCAAACAAGAATAGGAAAACAAATACGGCACATCGCGAACTGAGTCGCAAGGACTTGCTGAGACGTGCCACGATGGATTGTGAATTGGTGATCATTGACGGATCACTGAGGCAAAATAACATAAAATAATCATTACTATCGATACAGTTGGGACATGCCAGCGCCACGGACATCTCAGAAGATAAAAATCTTACCACCTAAGGTTCCCGTGGCCCGTGCCATGGGAACCTTGAGCCTAGTCGTGCCCTCCTGCCTGAAGCCATGCTTTGCTTTTCTGGAAGCTCCGCAGCCGGTGCAGGAGGAACCAGGCAAGGATGGGCAGATGGTGGTGTGGATGGGTGGATTGCTGGATCGTGTGTGGGGCAGAAGGAGAATGGTGGGTAGGGCGACGGCAAAGTTTTCGACGATCTCATGATGCAGTATGATGCAGTCCATGACGTGCCATTGTGTCTCCTCCACGGAGCTCCGTGATATGATATTTGAATATGAAGTACTGACCGTACGCTATTCCCGATACTCAGGTATTTCCAGTAGATGGGCGCTAAGGTCCGGTCCGCCCACAGGGACCTTATCTCATGAAGCTTTGCGGTTGGCCTTGCACGATCTGGTGAGTTGGGGCAGACAAAACTGGAATGATGAAGCGATCCCAGGCATGCGTTCCGACTTGAGAACGCCGCGGGTCTAAGCAATACTCAGTAGTTTGAAGAAATCCTTGACATTCCTTGACACTCTCAACCATTCCGAACCTCGACTTGTGCTTCACAAGTCGAAAACATCACCGATCCGCCGAACCCCCCAGACATGATCCCGTCGCGCCGGCAGACGCCTCCCCGACGGCCTCTCTGGCGCCACCAACGCCGGTGATGCCCAAAGTGCAGAGCTGCCAGGGCTGCGAGGCCATGGTGGACGAGTTCGCGCAGAACGCGCAAGGCGGAGAACCACTTGGCTCAGTGGGGCGGTGATGGTGATGGGACGCGAAGCGGAACCGGTTTCGGGGGTTCTCAGCAGATGACCAGACTCGACGTGACTTCTTCGTTCCTTCACTCTTCAGTTTCTTCATTAGATTTCCTGGACCCTACTTGCACGGGGCATCGCTACTAGTAGCAAGGACGCTACTAAAGCGGGGTCGCGGTTATCAGATATCAATTGCCTGAAGTCACTGGGAAGATGAGCTTTCAGGCATGCAAAGGTCATGCTCAAATGCAGTGACAGTGGCATGAAGATATATGAAGATTATAAAGGTTTTTGTGAACTTGTATGTGGTGTTTGTTTTCTTTGCTCACCACGTCAGGACAATTACTTTGTCGAACGTGCCTGCGGAGGGAAGATGAGGAATTGTTGGGCCCTTCAGTGGAGGAACAGAAAGGCTTAGAGGAGCTAGCCAAAGTGCTGGACAACGTTTCTTGGACACTTCCTTTGCGTTGGGAAACTGCACGTTTTCTTTTTGTTGGGCCTCCCCCGCTGCTAGGCATGCCTCCGACTGCAATGCAGTGAACTTGTTGATCATGACTTCCCCCTAGCGGAATCTCAGTGTTATTTATATTATTCAGTCCGCTCTGGTAGTGTTTCGTGATGTTTCAGTAAGGAAATATTGGAAGCCAGGGGAGCAACCTGCACAGATCTTAGATTGGATGCTCGGCTGGTTGCATGCTTGCTTGGTTGCTTGCCCAGTTTTTTGTGTTCTTCTTGGGGGCTGAGCCAACACCTGTGGCATTACAAAAGTTGCGCTTCTGTCATTTAAATGTGAAAGCCGGTAGTTATATCCTTCAGGTTGTTTATATTCTATATTGTATCAGAGTGTTGTTAAAATTGCCAGTGCCAGTGTGCCACGAACTGCCAGAACGGGGGCTTTTGTGGACTTGTACGCTGAGGCTTTGTCGGACCATGTGGCAATTCCCTTCCGACATTGTCTGACTAATTGATTTTGGCCATTCCCGTCTAATAATCTATCATATTCGATGTGCGATCCATACCTTACTTCCGAAACAAGTGCAGATGACCATGTCCACTGTCTCATGCAAAACCTGCGATCCATGGACTTTGCTATTCACTCTTGGTCATGCGGGTTGTTTGAAGTATATATGTAATTTCAGTGCCTTTTTCCATTTTGCAAGATTGTGCTGCTGTCAGGTGTTCACTTTCATACCCTTGCAGCCAACTTCAGCTCTAATGCTTAAACTCACACCACTTCAGCCCAACCAGCCCCTACGGTGTGGTGGTTAAGCGACCATTCTGCGCATTCACGAGCACAAAAACGAAGCTGGATCACACCTCTCCCCTTTATTAGATGCCCCTGAGGTCCCCCAAGTATGTAGAGCACACAGTTTCCAATACATTGGTGGAAAGGATTTATATACTAGAATATGCACTGTATGGCTAGCTGCTTTGATTATATAGGTCTCTCTATCATTGCTGTCTTCTAGCGGGGTGCTGAAAGCATCTGAAAACCTAGACTCGTGGCTCCGTTTCCATGATTTGTCCAGCAACTGATTCGTTTGTCACCTCAATCTGAAACCAAAAAGAATGTGATTCAACAAAGTGATGGCAACTCACAAGCCAAAGGATACGAGATGACTGTCGAAATCTCTCCTGTTCATGGCAGCTGGTGAATCTATGACTCAACGACTCACTCCTGGTCCATTGGGTATGGAAACGGGTCCCACCGACATGGGTCACGTTGGGTCCTTTGCACCGTGTCATCGCCCTAATTGGGGACGCTGAGGATGTACTTGGGCGATCTGAAGGAGGCGACCGACTTTGAACTGCTGCAGCAACGGAACATCACCGCCGTCTTGAATCTCATCAATTGGTGGGAGTTCCTGAGCGATTTCTTCTCCGAACCACGACCACGAACATTTGCGGGGGCACACGGGGGGGTCTGGAGGGCGAACCGCACGACCGGTCGCCCTTTGTTGGGAGTGCCCAGTACTGATGGACCCAGTGAAGCTCCGAGTGTGTAGCTCCGCTCAGGCTGAGCTCTCGGCTGCCAGAGGTGGCGGACTTCTCGTTGCTGTATAGCTCCCATGAGGTAGACTTTCTCGAGGTAGACTCTGAGGAGAGGTGGAAAGCGGGCAGGCTCACTGGTTAGGTTCCTTACTTCAAAGGGAAGCACTTGCAGTGAGTGGAAGTAAGATGAAGCAACCAAAGGGCCACACGCCGGTCTTTACAAATTATGGACAGGGACACCATGTTAGGTCGGGGAAAGGGGTTGTGTTGTGTGATATGCTTCTTTGTGATTTGATCTTTGGACCATTTGGTAAACTCATAATATTCATAGAGACCTCCCCTCTTACAGGTTCAGGAGCCAGAGGCACTTTCTAGCTGCAGGCTGGTGAGTAAGTTCACCTTTCGTGGACAAGGAAGTGGCTATATAAAGCTTGGACTAAAAATGGGAGGTTGCCGGCCTTTGAATATTGTTTGCATGGATGATTCGCCTTCAAACGCCCCATTTGCGGCCGTGACAAGTTGATGTTCCCACAGTCGCCCCGTTTGCGGCGGAAATTGTCGGAACAGCATCGGTGCAAAAGAGGACCGGCTTTTCTTCGACATTGTGGAGAAGTGCTGGCCCCCTTGCGAGTCTTTCTTGAGGAAATGCAAAGCTCAAGGGAAGCGAGTACTGGCCAGCCAACTTTGATACAGTAAAGTTTCCCTGTTTTAGTTTGTTTGTTGCTGAGACAGAATCTAATTACATGCATGCGTTGCAAAGAATTGCATGAAAACAACAGACCTGGCACCTCCCTTTTTATCCATCGGCGACGGCTTTTGTTTTAGCATTCCTTCAAGGTGAATTGCAAGGCGGGCCATAATCGATCTGCCTGCATGCGTCTTGCCTGAGTAATCTGAGATGAGAGTTGCCTAAGCTAAAGATGGGATTCCTGGGCGGGAAGAGTACCTCAGTGTTTGCCATTTGGAGAGGTCCCTCACCTTGCGTTGATTTCAATATGAAATTGTAGAAACTTGTTGCAACCTCCCCAAAACATCCTAAAACACCCTGTTGTATACGGAATAGACCACCAACTCACCCGAGCAGAAAGGATGCGAATCTCCGACAGCTCTGGTCGTTATGGACTGCGACACAGGTGTGTTTCTTGGCTGGTGGCCTGCGAGGGCTATGGCTTGTTGGAAGCTGTCGACATGGTCCAGACCAAACGGGGCACCATTTTGTCCAACCACGGCTGCTTGGAGCAATTGGTCTAACCGGACGCTACTATGAACAAAGGGCATCGCTACTAGGAGCGAGGGACGCTACTAGTAGCTCCTGGCCTTACTACTAGGAACAAGGACGCTACTGGTAGTATTCTTGGGCGGCGAAAAAGCTGTCCAAAAAAACATGACGACGAGCGAAGAAAGGCAGCGACTAGGTAGCAGGAAAGGTTGAGAATAGATGAGATGGTAAGTCGCACAGCTCAAGTGAATCTGCACAGAGGCCGTTCGTGAGAGTCTTTTTTGGGCTTGGTGGTCAACAGACTGGTTCGCTCCTAAAGCTAGATGAATGACATGCATACTCTCAAAGCAGGTCTTAGGTCAGCAACAACTCCGCCTTGATCACAGGCCTGCCGTGCCAAACCCCACAACTGGCTGGGGTCCAAGATAGGTGTTCGATTGCGTGAAGCATACAAGTTGACTTTTAGTTGCCAGCTATTTTGTTTGGACGTATTGATACATATATATATAGTCCCCTGCCGAATAACCCCTATAGAATGGGGGAGGTCGAGCTCCAAAATGACCTTGCATTTTATAGAGACTTTTCTCTAGAATCAAAAGTCAACCTACCTGAAACAGATCCACTCTGAGGATATCTGAGGTGAGAGAATCATATATTGATGGATCACTAGGTTGACCACCCTCATTTTATAGAGAATATATGACAATTGAGGGCATTTTATAGAGGACAGAGGTTTTGAATCTATAGAGAGAACCTGGAGCAGTAGAAGAATTCCTGTGGAATAACCGGTGAATATTGGCCCACTATAAAATGATATGTTTGTTCAAAATTCAGCTCACCTTTCTAAAATGAAAAAAATCATCCTGTGAGTGTCCAACCCTGTCCTTATAAAATGAATATCAACCTCTTTAGACATATCTTGTTTTTGGATTGTCATTTTCTGTCCAATCTTGTTATTACATGAAATTCAACCTTGCAATGTTCAATCATGCTTCTATAAAATGGAATACCAGCCTCTTTTGCCATTGCTGCCTAATTGTCCTCTAAAATAATATGTCAGCCTTGATGTGACACCCACTTGTCTATAGAATGAGGACCACCCCTGGCTGTTTCTCCCACTTGTCTATAGAATGAGAACCACCCGTGGCTGTTTCAATTAGATAATTCAGATTTTGAGCCTACAATTCTGTTACATTAGTGCCTTCAAGGGTTACCCCCTTTATTCTATAGAGAAACTATGCTGTACACTACAAGGGTTGAAAGCTAGATTCTATAGTGGGGCATTGTGGTCCCAGAGGTTGGTTCAACCATTTATCACTATAGAATGGCGTTCCCACCGGTCATTATTCCACAGAGGATTATATATATATATATATATGTGTGTGTGTATATTATATATACTGCTAATATGTGTAATATATATATGTATATGGCATCAGTAAGGGCACCACAAATGAACGCTAGTTTTGCCAGAAACTGGTCAATCCAGGCTTTCGGCTGCAGCTCTTGCGCTTGGCCTTACGTTTGGACCGCCTGGGCCAGCCAGTGGAGAAGAAGAGAGCAGGGAACTCTGTAGCCATCGGCAGCGAATCTCAGCTCAAGAGCCACTTGGCGATGAAGGGGTCGCGATGTGTTACAACTCCCGGAGGGACAGCCTCCCATGCCTCCCACACAAACCCACCGTTGGCAAGAGCTTCCTTCGCGATCTCGCACAGCCAGTAACGCGAGGGGGCCTCAGTGTTGGGAGGCTCCACAGGGCTGGCGACCGGGTCGGCTGCCGACAGCCCCGGTCGAGGCATCATCAATGAGAAGCGGATGACGGTGCAGTACGACGCTCACAAAGATCGCGGATTCCGAAGGCAGACCTCGCCCTTCCAAGCAATGCGCCCTCGGATGCCTGGCGTATGTTCAGGTGTGTTTGGGGGGCAGCAAGGTAGGATCGGGAGGTGTCCATCAGACTTCAGAGATGTCAGCAGTTCATCCTTGCACCATCCTGCGGGCGTGCAATGTGGTTTGCCTCAAGAGGTGCATAGCCTGAGGAAAGGGACAAAACCAGGACGAGGATTTGGATTTGTTGGGTAGGCTCGAAATGCAAAAAGACGAAGTGCAATAAAGAACGAGTCTCAAATGCTGTGGGTGGTGAAGGTGTATCTCCAAGCTTTGTGGACATGCAAAGAGCCACCTGTTTTTGCCTCCATAGAATCCAACACCTCTTGCATGCAAATGCATTGATTGGTGCTTTCATCCCAACGTCCTGAGGAAGTTGTCCTTGATCTCAGAGGAAGTTCACAACAACGTGAACCAGAGATCATTGAAGGTGGAGCTTCTCGCATGCTTGTACCATCGTGGCAAGAAGTTCCTGGACGACTACGAGTATACCTCGAAGCCTCCAACAATAATTGGCAGTGGCTTCAGTGGAGACGTGGTGCTTTGCAAGAGAAGGGAGAAGGCAGCCGTTGTGCAAAACCAGGAGACCTCCGTGCGCTGCGTAAAAAGCTTCAACTTGCAACTCATGGGCCCAGACAAGCTGGAGATGCTGGGCCTTCGGAAGCAACAAATTCTGAAAAATCATCCATATGAAATAGAGGACTCTCCAAGCAATGAGTTTTTAGATGCTTGACGGGGATTCTGTAGTAGCTTGTGAACCAAGGAAGAACAGGTGAAAGGTTCGCAGGTCAAGACAGGCCCAGACCGACAGCCTCCACTCCGTGTGGCGCCAAGGAAGCTGAAGAACGAAGCGGTGATTTACCTCTCGCTGGAGCATCCGCACATCGCTCGGCTGTTTGATGTCTATGAGGACAACGAACAGGCACCTAATTTCTATATGGAGTTTGTTTGAACTTGAATGACAGACCACCAGTGAACTCCTTTTCAGGTGTTTGAGAGTGCTCCATGTCTTGCGCTTTATTTTGGAAGGAGTTATGGATAGTTATGGTCACATATGGTCACATGTTCAAGTGACTGGTGCTTGGAAGCTTGGAAGCTGTTCACCCACTGAGGTGAGCTTGGTGATGCAATATTGCTCTGGCGGCACCTTGGAGAGTGCCATCCGATCACAGGGAGCCTTTGTGGAGTCGACGTTTCAGGCTCCGTGCCCAGCCAACCGGACTTCGGCGGGGGGGTTGACCTTTTCCAGGCCGCAGCGCAGAGATGAACATGCGTCCACTGGGCCCGCCCAGGTTCAGCTCCTGCACACAGTCGGTTCAGCTGCCAAACATGTTGCACTGCCCCCAGGTTCCTAGATAAAGCTATGTTTTCAATGGCTGGGACCCTCACAGTTCCAATCTGTTGAAGCAGCCAACCAGCTTTTGAGGCTGCCCTAGAACCAAAGTGATTTGGCAACTCCCACTCATAGTTCCACAATGTTCCATAGTTCAGTTCCGCCCAAGAAGGGCTGAAAAAACCGCCAGGATTTGGCGGTGCCCATGCTGTTGGCGGTGAACTACATCCACTGCTGTGGCATCGTTCATCGCGACATCAAGCCGCGGAACTGGGCCGCTCGGACCGGCTCGGGCGAAAGGGGAGTGGAGGTGAAGGGCGGCGAAGGGAGGGAAAATAGGGGGAAGAAACGGCACTTGTTGGTCCATATGAATTTGAGATGAGGGAGGATGAGGGTGCCTACTTGAGTGTAGGGATCACTGGTTCACGGCCAGATGTTGGAGATGTTAGCATTAGCATTGGAAGACCATTGTCACCGGCTGCTGCGCATAAACATGCAACAAAACGGTTGGTTTGTGGGTGACTTTCAATTTTGAGGCTAGCATTGAATACTTTAGAGTTCATTTGCATGTTTGGTACAGTCCAGAGGTCACGTTTTGTTTTGCCAGTTTTACCACTATGAACGCTGGTTTCCGAATTGGAATATATAACCTTCTAAGTTTCGGGCTCCAACCCAGAGAAAACCTTCCAAGTTTGGGGCTCCAACCCAGAGAAACAGCTCAATTTGCAAGCAGATTCGTTCTTTTTGTGTCAATGCACAACCTGATGCAAGTGATCCGTCACTGATCTGCGAGGTCTACGAGGCAGATGGGAAGACCATCAAGCTCATCGACTTCGGCTTCAGTGTGAAAGGCCTTTCGAAAGCAATGAGCCTAGAGCTTCAGGATATTTGAGGGCTTGGCCTCCCCAAAGCCAATGCAGCCCCCAGGTGCCCCCGAATGGTGAGCCACATGTTTGCTTGCAGCACACTGTCGGCGCAGCAGAATGTTGAGAGAGAGAGAGAGAGCAAGTGCAATGGCATTAATATGTGGCAGTGCCCAGAGGTCTCAAAACATTGAAGGCTGGATTCAGTAGGTGCAGCCAAATGGTCCAGTAGTTGACCTGAGGCTGTTCTGGACATCTTTAAGGTGGTGGACACAGGTTGCTTTAACTGGAAAGGATGTTGGCTGTTCTGTATCAGTTTCTAGGTTCAGCTGATGTGCGTCCATTCTTCAGAACTGGAAGCGTGTTTAAAGGTCTTCAGCTGTGAGGCTGTGAGGGGCACACCTTTGCAATGCAAACAAAGGATGGGTAGAAGAAAACATGAAGGTATCACAATGCGGGGCGATAGTTAGTTGATCCATGTTGATCCCAGGGGTGAGCCCGAGAGTAGCGCCTACTGTGTGCTCCGAAATCGAAAGCCAACAGTCACCCCTAGACATATGGTGCATCCAGTTTCACCTGGTTTTAGAACCACATTCCGGCCTTCTTGCGCTTGACCGAAGGAACCGTTACAATTAAGCTACTAGTAACAAGTGCATCGCTACTAGTAACAAGTGCCTTACTAGTAGTAACAAGAAGCTATTAGTATATAATGCCTGTTTAATTCTAATTAAATTCGAATTACTAATAGCTTCTTGTTACTACTAGTAAGGCACTTTTTACTAGTAGCGATGCACTAGTTACTAGTAGCATTCCGGCCTTCTTGCGCTTATTGACCGAAGGAACCGTTTTGACGCTGAGGCTACTTAAGCACCGAAGGGCTTCGTGGATGCATGGGTACCCTGGGCTACCTGGCGCCGGAAGTAGTGACCGCTGGTCTCAGCAACGAGAACGCCTACACCGACAAGTGTGACATTTGGTCCTTAGGCCATTTGGGGTATTGCGGGCTGGTGGTTAGGAGGAGGTTGACTTCCACAGCATGGGTTTTCAAAGGTCTCTTTGGCGCTAGAGCTGCAGGGAGTTCATGAAAGACTTGCAAATTGGTTTGTAGAAGATTCAATCAGAGCTTGCGAATTGGATGGTACGGTCATGTCCGGTCTCAGTCGACTGTTTGGTCGCACGAACACTCTCATTTCTCAGATGGTGATGGATCGACTGATTGGTTCCGCTGTTCCAGGTGTGGTCTTCGTGGAGCTGCTCACGGGGGAACCGGCCTTCCACCGGGATGCCGGGCAATGCGACGGCTACACCGAGGAGGTGGTGCTACGGGAGATCAAGGAGGTCACGGAGGAGAGTTTGCAGCGGATCCTGGAGCAGGCGGATCCTGCAACTTCCACGACTTTCCGAGTTCCAAGAGCAACAACACCCCGGGACGGAGAACAGAGAGATGAGATATGATGAGATGATGGAGCAGTGGTCGTGGTAGTGGTAGCGGTGGTGGTGATGGTAGCAGTCGTGGCAGTGGTCCTTATCGTCCGGCCAGATGTTATACACCAAATGAGGGTCGCCTTGGCCTAACCAGAATGAAGCAAGGAGAGGAACAATTAGCTTCTGTATTTTTGTATGTTTGTGTGGTTTACACGGCTTACTCTTCTTCATTCACCATGGGAAGACTATTCATATGACATCTCACAGGTAGGACCTTGGCAGATCATTCAAGGAGAGCGCACCTGTGGCTATCAGAAAAAAAGAGGAAGTTGGAAAGCAGGCTCTCTCTTAGAAAACTATCTACTATGCCTAGTATTGACTCCTGCCAGGTGCCCAAGTCTTCGAAGAGCTTTCTGGAAGAGATGCTGACCAAAAGCCCTTTGAAAAGACCATCCTCCAAGGACTGGGTGAAGATGTGCCATTGCTCTATCAAGTAGTGTTAACCAATCCTACTCGACAAATTGGGCGATTCGTCAAAAGGGGAGTCAAATCCATGGTTCAATTTCTTCACCCTGATTCCAAGGAGGTGTTGGATCACGACTACCTGGGCCCAGCACGCGCCAAATTGGCTCATCCACCTCGAGCACTTCCCGTCAGCACCATCCTGGACCGCTTCCGTGCGCATGCACATGCCTCCCAGCCGTCCAGAGCCTGGTTGCTCGCGGTGGCGCGGTCACCAACATATCTACCCTGGGAGGATTTTTGCGCGGCTTGAGCCTGAACAAGTTGAGCCAACTCTGATATGTTCTTTCCAGACATCCTTTGTGTCCGCACCCTGCGATGGTTCTAGGCTTGAAAACTGTGCATCCAAGAAACATGTGTTTCGAGCACTCAACATCCTTCTGTTTGTTTTGTTCACACCTTCAACTCAATCATGCTCACCCTCGGCTTAAATGAGGCCCTGCGGGACACCTTCAAAATGTTCGATGCGGTGGGGCTGAACGGTACGGTGAACCTGGAGACCTTCTTATTGGTCATCGGGCAGACCGAGTCGAACTTGGACATGGACGAGAGCCCCAGGCGAGAGAAGGTGTGCGTTTTTTTTCACTTGGGAGAGGCCATGGATATCCCTGGATCAAGACCTGGCATAGCAAAATTGTGGGGCCCGAGACAGACAAGGACGATCAATCAAGGATGCCAAGCCAGGCTAGTCCTCGAATGTCCTGGATGGCTTCCCCTGAAACATAGAACTGGTTTGCCTGGTTGATTCTCGTGCGAGTTGTTTTTTGTGTGAACCATTGAGCATGTGCCCCTCTCAAGGAACGGAAGTGTTGAGAGCAAGACGCCAGCAATACCATTGTAAAAAGGTAGATGAACCACGCACGTGTTGTCACAGATGTTCGCTGAGAAGTGATTAGAACTGCCAGGAGAAGGATCTCCAAGCTTTGGAAAGCTGTTTGTGGTGAGCAGGAATCCTTGAGCTATTGCGAGTTTCTTGCGGTCCTTCTTCCCCCCATGGAGGATGTCTTTGAAGACGCTTCCCAAGTGAGTGACGAGGTGAACAGCCCCTTGCAGCCGCGAGAGCATTGGAATCCTTCTCGCTCTGTCTCCAATTACTTCTCGCAGATGAAGAGGAGCCCGAGCTCCTTCTTCCCGCAGGCCCTTCTCTATGATGAAGAGAAGAAGGTCAGTGAAGTGGTCGGAGAGATGGCTCGTTTCCATCGCCGCTGGGCGCTGATTCGATTCAAGGATGGCACCTTTGAGTTCTTCGACTACATGGATATTAATCACCGACTCTTGGAAGATGCCGGCTCCAATGGATCAGCTGCCAAGTCCAAGTCTTGGTCATTGGGGGAAGTTTTCACCGCATTTTTTGGTGGGGAGGCCATCTGGGAAGATTTCTGGCGTTTATGTCTTAATCAAATAGTTGAGCAAAAGGAAGAACACACTGCAGTCCTCACCTGGAAGAGGAAGATCATCTAAACCTTCCAGAGTTGGCTAGCTCGACCGAGGCTGCCGAGGCGTTGAGCCGCATTTGCGACGCTCCAGTAGGCAGCCTGGCCAACTGCTCCCGCTTCTGTGCCTTCAAAGCGCTGGATGTGCAAACGCCACTCCGAGACGTGCTCCACTTGATCGCCGGGAGAAATCGAAAGAAGCGGCAGGGGCAGGTGCGACGGGTGCCCTTGAAGGATGGCAGCGAGATCGTGCCTCGGTGAAAGACAAGTTGTTGTGAATATGTTTGATATTTTTAGATATGTTTAGTATGTCTAATTTTCATGATTTTTTTCAGAATATGTTAAGAATATGTGTATCTGTATGTGTGTCAATATACATATATATATATACATGCGCGCAATCATCAATGACAGCGGAAAGGATGCGAAATCCAAAACGATCTTCAGCAAATTTGCATCAACATACATCAACTCGACTCAGTTGGAAAAACAAATCCCCTCGTCCAGAAAAAAGCATTTTCCAGGGTGAGAGACATTTTGCCAACCTGGTTGGATGGTTCTCCAATTTGGGAAGTCGGAGAGGGATGTGATGTCACCCAAACGGACTCCACAGCAAATTGAGCACAGGACACCGCAGCTGAATCTCACTGGGTGCATGCCGCTGGTTTGTGGCCTCCAAAAATATCCAAAAATAGTATTTGAACCGTATTCCTACAGATGTTCGTCCGTGCATGGACCAATATGGACCATTTTGACCATGGATAACACCATTTGGCACCTGCCATTTTGATGTGCCAAATCTCCAGGTGGGCGTTTTCAGTTGTCTGGACTTCTTGAACCTGGCACTGAAGTCCACTGCCCCGACTGCGGTGCTGAAGTCCTTGTCGGCCAAGGTCTTTGACCGTAGAAGTACCATTTTACAGGCGTGTGGGGCCATAGGAGTCGTAGCAGCAAAATACGATAAGCGATCGGAAAAAGATGGATCCAACCTGATCCAACCTAGTTTGTGATCACGAGAGCCAGGGTGGCCGCTGCATGGCCGTTGCTTACATTCCGATTGACAGTTCAATTGGCCGATGAAGACTCTCGCTGAGAATGGAGGGAAAATGCACAAATGGAAGACTCTTTGCCAATCTTTCTGGGCTTACCAACCCCAAGATCCTATTTTTCACCCTCAGTGCAGAGAGCATCTTCTAAGAAGATCACGTCGAACACTGAAAAACACACCTGCAAAAAAAGCATGTTCCTGACCTTCCACGCTCCAAAAGGAGTGGGCACCTTCCACGCCCACAATTCCAACAAAAACATACAGTACGCCCTGGACGGGACCCACATGGACCCAAAAACCACGTCGGGTTGGTCGAACGGTCGAAACCGGTGAATTCTCAGGGTCCATGGGATCGTTGGGAGACGGAGGTCTCCGTGAACCAAGATGAGCCGCTCCTCCACGCTTTGAGCATCATGAAAGCGGAAGGTGTGGGTTTGAGCGGCTAGCGGCTAGGTCGTGGCAGAAGGAAAGAACTGAAACCATGTTGTGAGTGTCATCGAAGAAGAAACGACCGAGTTCTGGAGAAATGACTGGCCGGCTCACTTGGTCCAGCAGTCATGTTTGGGTCCAAAACCATTGTTTTACCTCCTGGCGTTTGTGAAACTGGATGGCGCAAGATGAAACAGGTTCCCTGACACAAGAATCAGATCAAGCCGGTCAAACCTAGCAGCACAGAAACCGCATGAAACCACAGGCCTCACCATTTGTCCGGTGACCTCACGGGAGCTTTCGGGCAGCTTGGGCGGTGTGGTGGCGAGCAATGTGGTCTCAGCTGCCGACTTGAAGCCTGGATTGGCTGGTTGAAGCCAAGAAGGGTCAGAGGTGGTCAGAGAGTTGATGTTCAACGGCATTCTGCGCGCTTTTGTGTTCAAAACTGAGAGGTTACTTACTAGAAGGGCGGGTGATAGATGATTATTAGGCTGCAAACACCTGTCAAGCAGATTGGGATCTCCAAGGAAGTGGGTCATTCGGTCCAAGAACTTTGCGGCTTTGAACCTCTCGGTCCACGACTTTGTCGCCTGGCGTGGCAGTGCGGAGAATGCAGACTTGGACCACGTCTTGCGTCAGCAACGCTTAAAGCGCTTCAATGTGGCGACTGGGTCATGGGCTCCAGCAGTTCTTACTGTTCTTGTTCTTATTACGTCTTGCTCTTTTGGGCCTTTTTCCCCCCAAACAGTGGTTTGCTCTTACGGCACAATATGTGTTAACCTCAAGGGTGCTCACCGGCATGCGTGGCAAATTTGATGACCCTTACAGCACATTCATGCCTCGAGATTCCATTTTGAAGGAAGTCTCGCACAAAAGCTCTCGCGGAGAGGTCTGCGCCTTCGTTGTGGTTGTGGTACTTGGTCTTGGTGGTCACTTGTCGTGGCAGGTGTCAGGAGGTCGGAGCGGTTGTACTTCGATGTGACGACCTTTTGAGGCGCAGCCGGACTTGATGACTTGGTGGTGGTCTTTGGATGTCTTTGGTGTGCTCTGATTTCATTCCAGGTGCACCGAACTGTTTTCACCGTGAGAACGTGACAAACCTCGTGCGACAAACCGAACGTGGCAAACCTCGAACTTGACTTCGGAAGCACCGCAGGGCCGCATGATGTCAATCACGATGTGGATTTCGTGGATTTCGCGCAGCACTGTTTAGAGCCGGCAGACTTCGTGATACACACAGCACTAGCACTTTGTGAACCGCACTGTGCAGCTTTCATGGCAAGTGCAGTGCTGCACTTTCGGTGCAGATTTCATGGCAGGCGCCGCACTTTGTAACCTGGGCTGCGCGCATTTCGCACCAGCCACAAGGCGCGGCATTTTGTAGACCTTGCTGAGCAGATTCCATGGCAGACACGGCCATGGCGCTGTGTGATCCCCGACATTCGGATTTCATGGCAGGAAGGCGTGGCCCCTTTTTGAAACCAGAAATTGCAGATTTCGTGGCAACTGCCACACTTTGCGAACCTCCAATTCCTCTCGTTTGTCCTTTCATGCTACCTATGATGTGCTCTCGTGTGGCTGTTTTCATGTGTGTGTGTGTGTGCGCTCTAGGGCACGTATTCAGCCTTGTCATGTTGCAGGCGTTATATGAAGTTATATAACGCATTATAACGCTGTTTAGGGACTCGTGCCGGGATACTTATTGTTTCTTCCTTGTAGTGATTTTGTAAAAGGGTCATGCTTAAGATGGCAAGAAACAGAAACCTCTTGAAGGTGAGCGCCTCAGAGGACGCTTCCTTGCACAAGTTAGCCCGTCGCTTGGTGGATTCCAAGTTGCAGCGGATTTTTTTGTCCTCAGACGATCTGGCACGGATCGTGGGGATCGTCTCTTCTCGGGACATCATGCTGCAGGTCCTGGACCAGCTGGCATAGTCGGCCCTTGTCCCTTCCCAAACTGCCATAGGCTCAGGTTTAGGAAGGAATCGGATCTGTTAAAGGGCCCAAAGCGAAACAATGTTGGGGGGTTATTATTGAGGAAGGGACCAGGGCGCGCAACACAGGCAGAGCGCAGAAAAGAGTGCCACGAGAGACTGGATCGAAAATGGTGACAGATGGAAGTTGGAGATCTTCATGTTCATTTCCGCGGTTGATGTAAAAGATTTCGGGACACTATATGGTTCTCATCCCTTGAACGGCATCGCCTGAAGCGCTCGGAGATGCGGTGCTGGCAGTTTTGTTGACACCACGGCGTGAGACAAACACGGCAGGATTGGAGCACAGAGGTGGCTGCAGCGTACGAGAAGTGCCTCAAGGCCCTCCGGCGCCATGTGAGGCCGAGTCCGAATGACGCACCAAAGCATAGCAAAGCGATCAGGCTCGAAATGGAGGATTCACACCTGCCAAACAGCGCACAACCTGCAGCTGTGTTTGCAATAGGGAGGCCTCAACAGAATGCTGGGATTGTCTCACAATCAAAGTAGAAACCTGGCGACTACAAATCCTACAGCTGCAGTCTTCGCCAGAAACCCTAAGTGGATTCTGAGACTGAAAAGGTTTATTATGAAACATCATGAAACATCACTATGTAAACCAATCTGAACCAGGGTTTCATGCAAAAAAAGATGCCTAGGACGCCGCTTGCTTTCGGCTGCGCACCTGCGTCACGAACGTCTTCCTGTTCGCCTTTGAGCTCCTGCTGGTGCTGCAATTGGAGGTGAAGTGCACGGTGCAAGGGCTCGTGAAGGAAACCATCGTCGTCGGACTCCAGAAGACATATTTACAGAAAAGCATGTTGAATAAGAAAAAGAAATTCTGTAAATCGTGGGTGTTTGTTCAAAGGGAGGTCCAACATGTTTTTGGCTGCCTGTGGCCAGGGAAGGGCATGCACTGGGGCCTTGTGGTGCCTTTAAATCCAGGTTCTTGCAGCTTGCAAGAGCCGGTTGTGAATTAGAAAAGAGTTGTTCCACCATGTGGAGAATTGTAGAGGCAGAGAACATTATCATCAATCCCCAAGGCCCTACTTATGCAGGTGTTTCACAAGCCCTATCTCAAGGGTTTCGCGCCAGGGCACACTCAATGACTCCTGGTTCATGGTGCGCCTTGGATGAACCACTGACCGCTTACCATCCGGGCCGCAGCGAACGATACCATGGAGAAAGTCCTGCGTTGCGCATGATATCATATAGCCTGTTCGAGTTTGCTGCAGGTACTGCTTTCGGCTTGGCTTTGTTAGTATATAGTTATCCTGGTAGTCACCAAGCCCGGTTCAAGCATCATTCGGTGGAAAAAGTGGTGCCTAAACAAGCACGGGGAAAGCAGAACAATTTCTGAGGATGTGTCCCTGGATTGCATTGGAGGCGTGGCGGCGGACATGTTTGTTTGAAGGCAAAATGATTTTCCGGTGCACCGTATACTACCCAGTGACAGCGAAAGCGAAAAGTAAATCCAACTGTAGCTGTGCAACCTCAAGGGTATTTGTCCAGTTTGGGCAAGAAATCTCAAGCAAATCATGCCAAACATCCTCATGGCATCCATGAGTAGATCCCGCCACCAAGGGCCATGATGAACTCCTTGACCATTAACCATGTCACCGGGGCTTTCGAGGACCCGACGTTCCCGGTCCTTCCACATCCCGAGTCCGGAAGCCTTGCGTTCAATCTGCGTCTCTCGCAGATTTGGTGGCTCCTTCACCGCCTCTACTACTCCCGCGTGGCCTGGACCCTGGCTGATCCAGAAGCAGCCGTGGCCACAGAGAACGAGGCGCCTGGCGCATGAAGCGGCGCAGGAAGCGGCGCTTCGGTGAGGACATGAGTGAAGTATCAAGCACTGGAGTCTGGTCAGGTTTCCTTTTGGCTAACAGGTTGTCAGTAGGGGGATTGAGGGGTCCCTCGCGTTCCAGGGCAGACGACGTTTTGCGTTTTTTAGCAGCCTTAAGATCTAAATGAGGCTGTCTCTACCACTGGCAGGCATGTTTAACACGTGAGTGCACTATTGGGCAGGCTTGGAAGCTGTTGACATCTTCCAGCTTTTGGTGCTTCTTTGTCAGTCGCTTGCTGGCACAGTATGATTTGCAAGGCATGGATCATGGAGCCGGATGGTGCAGTGTGTGAAGGAATGCTTTAGCTGGTCCTGTCAGTCAATTAGAAGCTGAGAGATGGCCGGCCCAGCCCGGTCAAAAAAACACACTGACAGCCTCATTTGTGTCTCGACTTGGACATAAACAGAAAATGACAGAAACATCCGCATGCAGCAGGCAAGTGCACAGTCGGCACCCCCGACCCATGGCAATAGCATACGGATGGCTTTGCTCAGTCGTCGGATGTGTGTGACATTGGGACCTTATTGTCCTAATTGTCTCACAAGTCTTGAATATATAGGTTTTTGAACCTTTGCGGATGCCCATGATGCCCGAGCCAGGAGGTCTGACAGGGGGAATACCTGCGTTCTGCGCTTGGTACTTTTGTTCAGCCCCTAAACCACCACAGAGGGGCGCTTGCAAGGTTTCCTGCAGAGGGGCGCCTTGCGCTTGCTGACCTGTATCTTGATCGCTGTGCGGGCTGATTCAACTGGTGGTTCCTGGCAGCCTGGCTTAAAGCCAGATGTTTTGGGTGTGATCAGGAGCAATTTGCTCATCCGGAGCGACCACAACATGTGAAGGAAGCGGCGTGCTTTCGGTGATTCAATCCAGTCCCATAAAAACAGCTACGGCAAATCAAGACGAAGGTAGAACATCAACGGCAAATGTGGGTGCGGCATCCTTTGCAGGAGAATTTACAGTATGCCAGGATGCGATTCTAGGTGGTGGGGCAACCAGGAATGGATGTAGGTTCAACATGGTTTGCTGCTTTGGGTTGACCATAGGCAGTTTATCAAGGAGTTGTCACTATGCAGGGACGTTTAAATCTTCAGCTCTTGACATCGGGGCCCGCCTGCGCTTTGATTTCAACGATCTTCCTCATGTCAGTCCAATCTAAGGTTTGCAGTGTTCGTGCCCCTTTACATTTCCTCGGTTCTGGCGGTTGTTTTTGCGTGCATTGTTGCTTGGCATGTAATTCGGTCAATCTTGGATTCTTGAATTTGTGCACAAAGACAGCTTTCAGTAGAGTTGCTGGTTGCCATGGCTTTTGTGCTTTGTAGAGACTTGAGAGGCCAAGAAGGTCCTGTAGCCTTGGCTGGCTTCAGGTGAAAAAGAAGCAACCGTTCCTCCATGCAGATGATGAGGAGGAGCAAGGTGGGAAGCGAGACTTGCATTGTTTGACTTTTGTAGGAAGGTTCATCGAGGCTCCTGATCCCAAAACAAGCGACTTGAGGGCGTGCTGCTTTCGAGCCCACCTAAGTGTTCAACAGTTTGTTCCGATCGATTCAGTGGTCTGTGGAGGGGTCGCCCAGTTTGTACTCGCACCCACGGCCAGTGCTGTCGACTGTTAGTGGCTGTTAGACTGTCGGAAATGAGGATTTGCTTGGCATGTTTTTGTCGAGCTGGGTACACCCTTGGTTGAGCATCCCAATGAATGAAAGCCATCTCCTTTTGTGCCTCCGTTTTTGGTGGCACATGGGCTTGACAGGATTTTGCGGTTGATGCCTATCAGGCCTATCAAAAGATTTTTGCCAAGGTTGTTCTGCTCAAGTAGGTCATGTTTGCGGGGTCTCGTGAGAACCGAAGCAGTGCAGCACATTGCCCGCCCAGCAGATTCTGAGAAGCCCTTCTTTCTATAGCGATTCTACTAGCGATGGCCTCCAACCTAAGAGCGATGGCCTCCAACCTAAGAGCGATGGCCTCCAACCTAAGAGCGATGGCCTCCAACTTACTAGCGATGGCCTCCAACCTAAGAGCGATGGCCTCCAACCTAAGAGCGATGGCCTCCAACCTAAGAGCGATGGCCTCCAACCTAAGAGCGATGGCCTACTAGCGATGGCCTCCAACCTAAGAGCGATGGCCTCCAACCTAAGAGCGATGGCCTCCAACTTACTAGCGATGGCCTCCAACCTAAGAGCGATGGCCTCCAACTTACTAGCGATGGCCTCCAACCTAAGAGCGATGGCCTCCAACTTACTAGCGATGGCCTCCAACCTAAGAGCGATGGCCTCCAACTTACTAGCGATGGCCTCCAACTTACTAGCGATGGCCTCCAACCTAAGAGCCATGGCTGTCTTTCTATAACGATTGTCATTCGCCCTGCTGAGCACCTGCTGAGCACCTTTTTTGATATTCAAACGATGGGCAGGCACCGCAGCACCCACATGCTGCCTCTCCTGCATTTGGTTGGCCATGCTTTTCTTGGCGGCGGGGAAGTTGGATGGACCCTTGGCGAGAAAGAAGGATCAAAGGAAACCATAGACATAGACGATTCTTCACATAGACGATTAAAGACACGTTCTCGTGTTCTAGAACTGTTGATGAGATGCCAAATGCTGTGTCTTGTGGGACCTTTCTTCAATTGTTTTTGTTCCAACACCTCAAAGAGTAGACCGGTGAAGTTGTGGGCTACGGAGGTGCACCAAAAAATCTACATGAGCGAAAGGTGCTTCTGGATTCAAGTGCAAAAGAAAACATCAGGTTCCCGCTCACCATATCCTTTGTAGATCCCTGCTAAGCATCTTCCACGTCGCATCGCATCCCAAAGGTTGACCACAGCTTGGCAATTTGTTGCTCACATGGCCCTCCATTTGCCCACAAAGGCGGCACCTACTCTGCAGCATGGATCTTCTCGCCCATCTTCTTCTTCATGTCTTTGGCATCGCGGCAAACTCATTGAATGCACTTCAAGTCCTGATGAGTATTGATCAGTTTCTTCGTGCTTCAGATTCGCAAGCTCACAAGGATTTCAATCTCCCGCTTCTCAAGCCCACCATCCCAAGTTTGGGACTCCCTAGTTTTTGGCTGGATGATTTCACTATATAGAACCTCCCCAACCCACAAATTCCGTTTATTATGATTGCCTGACCGCGGTACCTTCGTCAGATTCGACTGGTGGAAGCACAGCGGCCTAGGCAGTTTGTTTGCTGAGCGTGGGGATTTCGGTTGCCCAACCGCAGCACTTTGCGCACGCGGCGGACATCATGGGTGAACCCATCGGCAAACCAACCGAATGAAGATAATGTAGATAAGGCCACACTGAGACCGAAAGGTCTTTGGCCACGGTACACTGTACAGTACTTCAAGTTGCCTACCCTCTTCAGCAGAATTGTTTGCTGAAGAGGCAATCATTCTTTGGCTCCATAATTTAACAGCTCCGACGCTCTTACATTGGGCCAGGCTTTTCACGTTGGGTACCAGGTAGCCCTTGGACAGAACCCACGGGAGAATATATTAATGAATGAAAGAGACCACATATAGGGAGGCGTAGGAGGCAAGTGATGGATAAACCAGGTGTGAGTTAGTCCTTGAAGATGATCTTTGCGTGTTAGTTTTTTCTGACTACGCCTGGCGAACCCAAACACATATGTGTTCGTTGGGTATCGAGTTGAGTGGTGCAGTCTTGCTCCGACTATCAGATACTATCGGTATTCTGTGGCTTCTGAATAGGGGCTGCCGCCAGCATTGGCTTGGGGGAGCGTCCCAGTTGACGCCTGTTCCAAGCGGTGTGCTCAAGGCACCTCGCAGATGGAAAGCACAGGCGCTGCACAAATGGAGTGTCCCGGTAGGAGTGCTGCGCAGGGATCCAAAATTGTTTGCATTATCATTTACAGCAAGCAAAGTCGAATATCTTGAGATTGTTGACAGAAGTAGGTAGCTTCGACTTTCCTGTAGGGCCTTGGAGAGAGCACGGCTTCCAACCTACTAGCGATGGCCTCCAACCTAAGAGAAATTGTTTGTTTTTTCCTATCAAAAATGTGACTTGCCAGGTGGCCGCGCTAGCACGCCTGCAAGTGCAGAGGACCATGTATACAAGAAAGTGACCACTGGTGGAGAAAGCACCAACCGGGGGAAATGGGAGTGTGAAGTAAGCATGAGCTGGAGAAGATCGCTTCTGCTTGCGGGTCCTCGCGGGGCAACCCAAAGGCCTCAAGAGATGCGCTTGATAGTCACATCAGCCAGACATTATACGGTATGTATTTCCCTATCACTCAGGTGCAGGAATCGCAGCAAAAATATCGAAAATATTGCGAGTCTTGTCCTTATGTCACATGATCACTCAGAAAACACGCGTTTGTTCTCATGTTCTTACTGACCTTGAATTCTTGGCCTCCAACATCAGGACATCGGAGCCTGACTTGCTGCTAGCGGCGATCAAGACACTCGGAGTGAAGGAGGAAAATATGAACATTTTGAAATATTGCTGGATGATGCTGGATTCCACCACTCCCTGATTTGTGGATGGATATCGGAAGCCACCATTGGGTCAACTGAAGCATGTCTTGGCATTCGTCATGTTGGTTCGCTTTCATCATGTTGCCCTACAGACAGCCACATAGCTGTAGCTTCCTCGAGTATCGTCCTCCCAAGAGAGTAAGCACCTATTGAAGAAGCAGTCGGGAAGCAATTTAAAGAATACATGTTGTATGATATCACCATACATAACCGTGTACTGTTGCACAATTTCGCGATGCCCGCAAAAAGCAAGACGCTGATCTACAGCTGCTACAAACAAAGGAAGAAGGTATGCAATATTTTTATATTTTTGTTGAGCACAGACAAGAAACACGTGAAACAAGAGTTGATTGTTTCAGAAGTTACAGTTCAGACAGAAATTACAACAAGAGCTATGGTTGGGCCAAGGTGTGGGGCGCCCACCTCCCCACCTGAGAAAAATTAAGTCCAAAGTTCCTTCGTTCAAACTTGGGCTTTCGCCGGTAGATGTGCCAAAGTTGGGGGAAGGGGCAGGACCCCTACCCCAGCCATATCTGACCACTGCATCCTAAGGACAGGGCGGAGGTGCAACCACAGCCCAATGCATGCCGCGAAGGGTTGAACACGAAAACAAGCATGTGTTTTCAGATTCAATGATATGTAATTAATATCTTCGGGATTGTTGGAAATGTTGGACCGTTTGCATGAGCCAGTCTTACTTTCAGAGCTGCAATGCAAAAAGTTTGATGAATCCTCCTACAGCCCTATGCACTTGGGCACCGACAAGGAAGCACTCGGCTCACAACATGGGTTGCTGCGTCAATATTGACCTTGGGGAGCGGTTGTATGTTTGAAGAGGTGAAGCACTTGGCTAGGATAAGATTGTGGAAGCCCCACAACTTGGAGCAGTGAACGTTCTTTCTATCGAAGTGATTGCTGTTGGGCTTGCAATCGGTTTAATGAGCTGTAGTGCAAGGGGGATGTAAGCGGCGAGTCTATAACCATCATATCCTCAAGCAAACACATTTTGGCCCCAACGTGTTGGCAGGTCAGTGAGAAACCGCGCCGAGCTTCTGCAGTGGTTGGCCTTGGCAGCTGCAACGCGCAGGTGGAGAAGATGGGAAGATTGGGGCTCACAGCAACAAGCGGCAAACTTGGGGGCAACTCCAACCTGGCAGTGTCATTGCCCGTACGGCAGAGCTTTTTGGGGTAGGCCACTCATTTTGAGGCACACTAGCTGAAGAGAATACCCAGAAGATGTGATGTACGGTTCCGGGATTGGATTCTTGAAGTATATAGCTTGCAAGAAGTTCACCTTCCAAGATCGGTCAGTGTGATTTGCCTCAGAGGGGGGCAGAGGCCCAGGTGGGGCATCGAGGCATTGTTTCTGTGACGTCAATGTCAACATGAGTCAGGCTCAGGTTCGATGAGCTCGACTTCCAGAAACCCTTGAAAGAGCAGGTGCACATTTGGGTTCACAGAGCGTAGGGTACCCATGGGACAACTAGAGTTTTAGAACTATATAAGGCGGCAGACATGTTGTTGGCCTTCCTTGGAGAGACAAAGATAGATGCCATTGATGTGCGAGGATCCATGGCTCGGCCCTTTGTTGGTTCAAAGCCCGTGCTTTGTTTCCTTCCCTTATTAGGAGTGGCCAACAACTAGTCGATCAATGTCGATCATACAAATTTGCACAGCACACGTGGGAATACGGAGAAATCGGTTTCACCCCCAGGCTTGTTCAATACGATCAGCTTGTTTGCGTTTGCGGGTCTTGAAATTGCCTCTTGGCATCGCCCTCGAGGGCGTCAGCGGTCAAAGTCCTTGTTTGACAAGTGCATCAAATCCTGCTGCCAAGACTGGAGCCCTACCACGAGAATGATCTATGTGAAGCATCACCACTGCATCACCCAGTTTTGTTGTTTTCCTGCCTGTCCAGGTAGAGCTCCTTGCCTCCAGCAAGCTCTATGTGGCATCCATGGGAGCGACATTACTGGTGAGACTGGCCAGAATCATTTAATGGAATGTCATGAACCCCTCCTTTGTTTGGTTCTTTCTTTCTCCCACCCTCTCTCACTCTCACTCCTTGTTCTTTCTTCGTTTGTTCTGGCCAATGTCCACAGAAACCCCACCACAATCATTGCTTCACACCTGTTGGCCCCAAAATCGGCGTGCGACTGTGCCAGGCTGGTATCATGCTACCAGCTGATGCTGCTGTTTTGGCCCTACCTGCATGTCATAAGGCCGTGTCGGATGGGTTAATTGAGTGTGGGGGTGAGTACAGCGCTGAGCGAGCTGTGGAGAAAAGTTGTTTTCTTGCGGATCCCACTGAAAGATACTGACAAATGGCGATTTCCGGAACTAGACAACGTCAACTCCAAAGTATGCGGTTGATTACTGGGTTACGATACAATACGATACACATATATCGTTTGACCATGTTGGAGCAATGTGGCATCCAAACTAGATTGCTTTTGAAAGAGTGCGGTATTCATTTGCAGTGTGTACTCAAGCTAGCTAGGCCATCCGGGTCGATTGGACCCTTCTCGACCTTCAGCCAACCTCGTGTCGATGGCCTCCAACCTCGTAGCGATGGCCCTCAGGCAGCAAAGTGGTCCTAGAAACATGTTGTTGGCCTATTCGCCTGAGTTGTTATAAGAGACAGGGGCATCTGACAGACCCCTCTGCGGGAAAACGACTTCAACACATTAAGTCTATGCTCGCCTCAAGAAGTATAAAGGTGTATGTATATTGTTGATTTGTGACGCCACATTGCCATCGGTCGCTCGATCTCGTCAGATGCCGGAGGGTCACTCGTGGAGTGGAAGGGGATGCATTTGATCCAACGCCATCAAGGCTCGAAAGTCAGGGGGCTTGGTTGGCACGAGCGTGGCACGCCATAGAGCGTGGTGGCGGCGGACCGCCGGTTGTTCGTTGGAGGCGAGGACGCCTCGTTGACCTTGGAGAGTTGGAAAAGGAAGCAGACGCGCTTGGGAGCGCGAAGTGGTGGGAAGTGGCCGGGCCCGCGCCAGTGTGTGTAATACACATTGGTAGCGGAGCCCATCACGGCCGAGACCGATAGGTGAGGACGCTGATCGATCTCGGAAGCTGTGAGGGTTCCAGGAAGGTGATTCGATGCCGCCTAAAGAAGTTGGAGGAAACAACACTGGCAGCCTCAGCCATCTTCCCTGGAGTCAAATTCCAGGATTCAAACCGGGCGAAACAGAACTGACTGAGTGGACCAAAAAAGTCGAGTTTTTGGCACAGTTGTGGCCGCAGGAGCATTTACAGTTGTTGGCCCCCCGCATTGCGCTTCAATGTGAAGGCTCAGCGTTCCAACGTGTTTCCCGCCTGGATCCAAAGGAGTTGCGTGTGAATAGTTTGGATGGGGTGAAACTGATCGTGGAGACCCTCGGAGGAATCTGGGGGAAGTCACGACTGGAGGACAAGTTTGAGCGTTTTGAGAAGGCCATCTATGGAACAGTCCAGCGGTCGGATGAGACCCATGAGAGCTACCTGGCTAGACATGACCACCAGTTCGAGGAGCTGATGAGTATGAAAGTTGGGATTGAAGAGTTCCGTGCATACATTTTGTTGAGGAACTCCTCCGTGGGCCCCGAGGACAAAAAGCGGTTGATAGTAGAATCCCAGGGATCCCTGGATTACCGTTCCGTGGTCACCAACCTCAAGCTCTTGGGAAGCCGGTTTTTCCACGAGGTTCACACTGGGAAGCCAAACACCACACGTACAAAGACATATGATACAACAGCATTGTTCACAGAAGATGAACCTGCATTGATGT